CCCCCGCGGAGCCCTGGCCGGAGCCCCAGGGCAGATGCCGGGTGCGGCCGCCAGTTGCCGGCTGTCCCCGGGGCTCCTTCAGGTGGAGGAAACGGCCGATTCTCCACGCCGTCCCCAGGGCCTGCGGTGGCCTGACTTCCCTGCAGCATGTGACCCCGTGCTCCTCGCCGGGCACCCAGCGGCCACAGCCTGCTGTGGGGTCAGTGGGACGGTGAGGCCCTTTCTGGCCGCCACCCGCCAGGGATTTCCCCGGAGAAGTCCTTGTGTGTCCGGATGTGAGCGCACGGCCCCGGCGGGCCCCGGCGGGCGCTCCCTGCTCTCCGTGTGACGGTCCACAAGCTCCCCTGGTTCCGAGGACTCTGGGTGCCGCTGTTGGCTTCCAAGGGGCCCACTGCCTGTGCCACTGGCTCACAGGTGACACAGGACATTGGGACCAGAATGCAGGGCCTCCTGGCTGCTCACGGAACCAGGACTGAAAGGGCCAGGAGGCCAGGCTGAGGCGGCTGCGGCTCTCTCGGGGTGGAACTGTGATCAGAAGGCCCCGCTGGCCATCTTTCGAGGCCTCTGTGCTGGCGGGGAGGCTGGCAGGGCAGGCCGAGTGCACGTTCCCAGCCTGGGGGGAGGGTCCCTAGGAAGCAGGGCCGCTCGTCCGAGTGTACCCGGTGGCAGAGCAGCCGTGGGGCCTGGGAGTGGGCTCTGACCTTGGGATGCGTCCTGGGCACGGTGAGAACAGCCGGGCAGGTCCAGGTTGGTGCCCGAAGGCGGAGCGAGCTTCGCACTCGCCGAGGCCTGTGCAGCCTGGGCATGAGAGCCGGGCAGTGTCGTCGGGGTTCTGTGGTTGGAGCTGTGCACGGCACAGGAGACGTGCCCACCTGGGGGGCAGGGTCGCTCAGAGTTGCAGGACCATGACCACACCCAGGTGGCCACACGCAGGCCCACTGGGCTGCTCCACCTGCCCCTCCTGTGCTCCGGTCGGAGTCAGTGTCTTCCACTCTCAGTCGAGGCTTGGTGACTGGGACACACACAGGAGTCGCACCCTGGGGGGACAGGGCTGTCACCCACCGTCTGTTCAGCGGGGCAGTCGGGCCTCACCAGCCTCTTGGGCCCTGTGAGCGCCCCCCCCCCCCNAGCATGAGGTAGTCAAGGACAGGGGGACCGAGGTGGGCCGCGGCTGCTCACCGCCCCCCGGGAAGGCTGTCTGTTTTGGCATCAGCACACACCCATCATCCTGGGGCCAGAGGCTGCCCACCTGCCCAGGGAGCCCCAAGAGGCACCCGAAGCCAGTGTGGCCGTGATGTCGGGGGCGTGTGGCCGTTTCCTGTCCCTTCTCCGAGGCAGGTTGTTAGACGGACAGCTCAAGCCAGCTCTCTGCCTGCCATGGGTCTAGTGTGTCACCATCCAGAGCCTGCTGTGGCCCTTCTTGGGCCAGCATCCCAGAGTGTGGCTGGTTGGCCGGGGAGGGGGACGGGGTGCTATCCAGTGCTGGGCGGGCCTAAGCAGGACCAAGACCCCAGCCCTCACCCAGCAACCTGTTCAGAAGCAGAGTCTGGGTGTGGGTCAGCTGGGGGGTGGGCGAAAAGCCCAGGCGTGGTGCTCGGTAAGGGGTCTGTGGGGGGCTGGGAGCGGGACATGAAGGTTTCCATGGCGGGCCACCTTCAGGCACTGTGGTTTGGTCAAGGCCAAGTCAAGGCTGTTGGCAAGGGATCTGTGTGCCCGCATGCTTAGTAGTCAGGGCACCGCCCCTCAAGGGAGCCCCGCTGGGGAGCATAGGACTCAGGCTCCGTGAAGGAGGGGTTGGGGCCTTAGCACCTACGGGCCCCAGGGCTATGCGCCAGGCAGAGGCCCACCAGCCATAGCTGGAGGCGGTGGCACCAGTAGGCACCGTGTACTGGGGCTGCGACCGCCTTCAGGGCCGGGAGGCAGCGGCCGCATTCCCGCACCTCCCCACAGCCTGCCTGGTGATCAAGGCCCCTAAAACCCCGCTCCAGCCGCAGCCCCCACAGCACCCCAGCCCAGGGCACCCCGCACCCCTGCACTGGGAGGCCCAGGCCGATGTGCAAGTGAGGGACGGGTGCGCGGGGTCCCACAAGGGGCCGAGTAGGCGGAGGGCATGACCGAGGAGCAGATCCGTTTCCCGCAGCATTTTACTGATGCTAGATGTATTACCACGCTGGGCCGGTTCCAGAATTCAAATTAAAAGCATAAATAAAGACACATTTTGTTTCCATCTCAAGCTCTCCCCACCCGAAGGCCCCAGGGAGGTGAGGTCACTGCAGCCTTGATTACGGGAAGGTCCCTGGGGCTGGGAGCAGCCCCTCTTTCCGGGGCCTGCTGGCCGTCGGTGGAGCACGGGGTGGGGGCCCCCGGTCAGCGAGCAAGCCTGGTGCAAACGAGGGAGTCGTGGCAAGCAAGGAGCTGGGGCTCAGTTGGCTGGGGAAACAGAGCAGCTTTAGCCACACCAGCACCCTCGGCCAGCCCCCCACCCCAAGCTGCCCACACCCCTTTCAGGCAGAGTCCTCTAGGCCCCGCAAGGCCAGAAGGGAGCGTCGGGTGCCTCCAGCACCCTGTGCCTCCAGCCCCACTCAGAGCCTTGCTGCGGGGTTTCGAGGGGCAAATATGAGTAGACAGGGCATGCAGGGTGCAGTGTGGGGACTAGGGGAACGCCCCTCCACAACTCCACAAGAGGGGAGGCCTGCACCCCAAGAGCCAGGGAGAATTCCAGGGCTTCTGCCCACAGACGGTCACAGCCACAGCACTGGGAGAGCCGCCGTGTGTCCCTGTGCTTTGCACAGGGCATCCCCNCAGCACCCCAGCCCAGGGCACCCCTGCACTGGGAGGCCCAGGCCGATGTGCAAGTGAGGGACGGGTGCGCGGGGTCCCACAAGGGGCCGAGTAGGCGGAGGGCATGACCGAGGAGCAGATCCGTTTCCCGCAGCATTTTACTGATGCTAGATGTATTACCACGCTGGGCCGGTTCCAGAATTCAAATTAAAAGCATAAATAAAGACACATTTTGTTTCCATCTCAAGCTCTCCCCACCCGAGGGCCCCAGGGAGGTGAGGTCACTGCAGCCTTGATTACGGGAAGGTCCCTGGGGCTGGGAGCAGCCCCTCTTTCCGGGGCCTGCTGGCCGTCGGTGGAGCACGGGGTGGGGGCCCCCGGTCAGCGAGCAAGCCTGGTGCAAACGAGGGAGTCGTGGCAAGCAAGGAGCTGGGGCTCAGTTGGCTGGGGAAACAGAGCAGCTTTAGCCACACCAGCACCCTCGGCCAGCCCCCCACCCCAAGCTGCCCACACCCCTTTCAGGCAGAGTCCTCTAGGCCCCGCAAGGCCAGAAGGGAGCGTCGGGTGCCTCCAGCACCCTGTGCCTCCAGCCCCACTCAGAGCCTTGCTGCGGGGTTTCGAGGGGCAAATATGAGTAGACAGGGCATNACGTCCCCACTCAGAGCCTTGCTGCGGGGTTTCCGAGGGGCAAATATGAGTAGACAGGGCATGCAGGGTGCAGTGTGGGGACTAGGGGAACGCCCCTCCACAACTCCACAAGAGGGGAGGCCTGCACCCCAAGAGCCAGGGAGAATTCCCGGGCTTCTGCCCACAGA